AAAAACAATGCCTCTTTTTTAGATGCACCACACGGGAACACACTGGATTGCTTTTTTTTTTTTTAGGGTTTTCCATTTTCTTGTATTCAGAGGCCGATTTGAAGTTGTAGCTCTAGCAATAGTCTTAATGCAGATCACAAAGCAAGTATGAAGAGTCTCTTGATTCTTTTGTTCCATGGATGTGATGAGTATAATTCATAGATTGAATTAAAAGGAAGGTTTTATTCTTCATTAATGCCATTTTTTTTATCCTTTTCCTCTCTTAAAGCATGTTTTCTACATTTCTTATTTCTACAATCCTAGTACGGTTACTAGTTGTTTTTTACTTTTTTTGAACCATGATTTATTTTCTTCATATTTTTCTTAGACTATTACTTATTCTTTCTCTTTTTCTTTTAAATTTTCTCTTTTTTTCTTTCATAGTTTCCATTTCTTACCTGCCACAAATATTTGGAAAAAAGATCATACTTTCTTCTCCAATATTTTTGTATTTGTTTTATTTCTTTTTTCTCCAATACCCATTCATTCTCTCTCTCTCTCTCTCTCTCCTGTTTTCTCACATTTTTTCTACTTTCATCTTGTTGGTTTCTAATAATTCATCTTTTGTGGTTTTTATCACTTTGTTCTGTTTTTCACAAACATTCTTTTTCTCTAATGATTCTAATGACTGCTTTTTTCCTTTTTTTTGACAATGGAGTGTGCCTTTTTCTTTTTACCTGTTTTATCAAAATTTTCTCTTTCATTTTTCTATGGAAAAGTGTTTGCTAGACCACATTTCTGCATATGCAGTTCAGAAAGTGTAAAGCATCCACCTCAACGATGGATGCAACAAGTAGGTGTTCCATCAAAAAACAATGAAAAATGGCGGTCTAAATGTTTTTTTTACTATAATTATTATTTATAGTTTTTAAAATTTATTTATTTTTTCATATTTATGATCTCTATGTTAGAGATTTCATGTCCTTAAAAATTAGGGTGCAGTTTGTATAGAGCCTAGGCTCTAAACAATCAAATTAGAGCCTACCTTTAAATAGTGTTTAGAAATGCGGTTCAATATTGGAAATATTTGTGATTGTCTTAAAATATATTTTCATCTTTATTTATAAAGTTTAAAGCTTAAAAAATAGTGTAATTGTCTTAAAATATATTTTCATCTTTATTTATAAAGTTTAAAGCTTCAAAAATAGTGTAGATTCACAGATCTATGCAAACTTGAAAATCTTGAAATTGAAAATATACTATTTCCAAAACTTGAAATCCATTTTTTGTCATGTCCATGCATCATGATGTAGATGATCAATTTGAGGATATTTGGGCATCAAAACAACCTCTTCTAATAAAATTTTTGAGATAGGCTCAGCTCTATATAAACTTTTTTTTTCCAAAAATTAAGTATTAAAATCCATCCCAAAAATAGATTTATTAAGAGGCCCGCATGTCTACATATGTGGGCTTCGCCGCATAGAAACCGGGTGTTTTTTCTATCTGAGAACTTGGAGAATGTAGGTGTACAACTAGTCGGATTGGACCCGGACTTGAGAAAATGTTATGGGACTTGGACCCGGACCCAAAAATGTAGTGTGGGATTTAGACCCGATCGGACACGACCCAAAAATACAAAAAAATAAAAAATAAAAAATAATAAAATATATATATATATATATATATATATATATATGTGTGTGTGTGTGTGTGTGTGTATGTGTGTGTGTGTATTTAACTATCTTTAAATTGAAATATTGGGACCCAAAATAATATTATGAGACCCGGACCCGAACCTGAACCTGAATAGTGTTTGGATCCAAGATTTGGACCCGGACCCGCACCAACCCGACCGCTGAGTCGAATTTTTAGACCCATACTTGGACCCCGATTGAGTCTACCCCTCGGGTCCTGGGTTAGGTCAGAAGGAAAGAATGATATCATAAAACGTGTGAAAATGTCACCTGTTCCCTCACTCACATGCAAACGCCCACACGCCAAGTTTAGCGGGGCACATGAGGTAAGATGCCTCTTGTCTGTGGTCTTGTTTACAAAGTAAAGACTATCAACCCCTTCAAAATTACAAAGTTTTTTAACAATATTATACATGAAGAGACTTTTGCTTTCTTTTACTTTCCTCTTTTTTTTTTTTTGGTTTTTTTTTTTTTACCTGGCCTTTAATATTTATAGCTAGCCTCAACATCTTGGGATATCTTTAAAATACCCTTTGGTGATATTTGGGTGGTCTCAAAAATTATTTTCTTCCTCTTTGCTAAGTGTTTTTATTGCATAGGGGTCAATGATCACCTGTTTTGCAATAAAACTTGGAGGCATGTGTTCCTGTTTTTATGTGAATGTGAACACTTTGAGGAAGATACTTACATTTGATGGTATAAAAATTAAATTTTTTCTATTATATAAGACAGCAATCTTATTTGTAGAAATAAAGTTATGATATTTATTTAAACAATATATATTTCATACTATTTTAAAAGATATGACATTTTTTTATATTATTTTAAAAGATACGTCAAATCTCCTAAAATAATTGTTGTAAAACATGGTACCTTTACTTCTACAATTAGGTTGCCGCACCCATAATAATTAAGACAAGTCTACGTAATGGTCATTTAATGATGTCTTACCTTCCCCTTCTTTAAGCGTACATAGATGTGCCATATTTGAAAGGCATAATATTGACATCTTAGACACCCATGGTCATTACATGTAAACTTGTCTAAAAAATGGGTTATTTGGAAAAAAAAATCAATAAGAGGGTGGAGTTGTCAATTGAATCACTTATAAGGGCTAAAACCGTCAATACTCTTCTTCATATCCCACTTTTGACAATGTATGGTTTCTAGATCTCACTTCTCTGTTGTTGGGTTACTTTTTGTGTTTCAAATCTGAATCTTTTTGAGTTTTAATCTAATACTTTTGATTTCTAGTCCTTTTCTTGTTTACAATATCTTCTTTTTATTTGTAATATTTTTATTCATTTATTTTGAGTCTTTTAAGTTTTGGGTGTGGTTTGCTTTGTAGCCTTCAACAATCAAAGTAAGGTACACTTCTAAACTTTGACAAAAGATAAAATTTGGTGTGGAAATTTTTAAGATGGTGTGAGAATATATTTTCATCTTTAATTATAAAATTTTAAGTTTTAAAAACTGTTTAAATTAAGTAGACCTATAAACGCATGAAAATCTTAAAAATAGACCGTACAAATAATATGTTACAAGATATACTATTTTTAGACTTGAAATGTCTCTTTCTCTCCATCTATACATCTCGACGTCGAGATGAATTAGGTGTTTGTCTAACATGAAAGCAATAGTTTTTGAAGGATTTTAAGGGTGCACTTTCAACCTTATATAAACTTTTTCTTTAAAGTTTTATGACATTATTATATGCACTCAAGTTGCATTTTATCAAACGCTTTTGAAATCCGCTCTCTCGTTTTATTTTTCATATTTAAATTCTCTATTTGAGCCACTTTGCACTTGGGTGACTCCATATTTTTTGTCATTTTCACTCTTTCGTTTGGTACACTATAATACTAGTGAATATGAAAACTCCATACTCATGATGCTTATCACCCTCTAATCAATGGTTTGATGATATGAAAATCATATAGACCAACAATTTGAGTGCTTTAATGTTTTGATGAGTCCAACTATGAGACTGTCATCAACCATCCCTTGATTGAATGGAGATTAGCCTCATGAGCATGGAATTCCACCTTAGTCACGAGGATTTCATATAATTTCCCTTCTATTTCCTAGTGCTTTTCTCTACTTTTTTGGGTTGGATTTTTATATTTTTGGGTTCATCTTGTTTGTTCTAGGGGCAGGAAAGATTCCAATCTGGATTGACATTTTTTTAAAAGAGAGTTTTTATAAGGTTGACAGTTTAAAATGTAGAATTAAAATGCGCATCTAAAATCTTTCAATAAGGTTATTTTAAGGTTGGATAATACCTAATTGATCATATTGACGTCAAGACGTATGGATATGGAGAAGAAAAAAGATTTCAAGTCCTAAAAATAATACATCTTGCAAACACAGTATTTGGACTGTCTATTTTCAAGGTTTCACATGTTCATAGATCTACTTGATTTGAACCATTTTTAGAGTTCAAAATTCAACATGAGGTGGACCCATTTTTAGAGTTCAAAATTCATCCTTTTGTTACTTTTTTGCAATAATCGGTTTAATGCGCCGCTCACTATGAAAACTTGTCAAGACTGTTGTAGCATGGGGCATAATTGCTTCTGTCGTTCTTTCTCTATCATCTCTATATCTCTTTATTGTGTTTTTTCTTTTCTTAATTTTTTGTTGTTTAACGTTACCTTCTCTTTATTGCTCTCTCTCGGATCGGGTCCAGCTGGACCCAGTCCCAAATACAAATAGTATTCGGGTTCAAAATTTGGTACTTGGACTTTTGAGTCTTGGGCTGGTCGGATCCATTGCCACCTTATGACTATGAGTTTTATTATTATTATTTGTTTACTTCTTTTTTACCATCATATACCCTATAACTACGAGATTTTTTTTTTTTATCAATAATAATGTAAATGTTGTTAATATTGTGACAATATGGCCACCTAGCTCGAACTTAAAGATATATGATTGTCATCATATACCTTATAACTACAGGTACGAATTGGGTTCGACTAGACCTGGACCTAGATCCAGATTCAAATAGTATTTGGATCTAAAATTTGAAACCATGCTCGAACCCGAGATCAGGTATACCCATCGGATCCGGGTCTAATCGGGTCTATTACCAACCCTATCTCTCTCTCTCTACCTTCTCTTTATTGTGCTCTCTCTCTCTTTGTAGGCATTCTTCTTTTGTGAACATTGCGTGCCTTCTCTTTCAATAGAGTTATCAATCATTTCTTTCATTTCTTTCTCTCTCCGGTTTTTCTTTTGCTTTTTATGAACATTGCTTGCCGTCTCTCTCTCTCTCTCTTAACGGCTCTCTTTCTTCTGCTTTTAAAAAACATTACTTGTCTTCTCTCTCTTTTCCCCCTCCCTTTCTCTCTCTATAAAGAATCTTGGCAGGTTTTTCCCTTGCTAATCACCCAACTTTGCTTGCCTTTTCTTTTCCTATTACTTATCATAAACAACTCTCCCCTCTCTCTCTCTCTCTCTCTACTTCTCTAGGATTTATAAACTCTGCCTAATTCTCTCTCTTCAATCAAACCCTTTCTCAAATTCTTATGGAGCTATGGCCATACAGGAAGGGGATTCAGAAAGGGAGAAGAAAAGGGGGAATGAGAAATGGGGTGAAGAGGTGAAGGTGGTGGTGGTGGTTAGTGAGAGAATGGAAGAGGAGGGTGAATGTAGAGAGAGAAAGAATAGTGCTATAAATCGGTTCGAGTTTTGCAACCCCCGAATTGCGAGATATGTGTATGGATTCATGTTCCTGCTCATGAATGTACTCGCTTGGATCGTTCGAGATTATGGCCACGCCTTTCTTGATGAGTTCAAACGTGAGTCCCCCTCTCCTCTCTGTGTCGAATTTGAATCTCTCTCTCTTCTTGAATCTTTTGTGTCCATTGTTCAATACTGCAATCATCCAATGTCACATGAATGCCACAACTTTGAAGTGAACCAAGTTTATCACATGGCTCTTCTCTTTCTCTCTCTAAACACATGGGTCTTCTCTTTCTCTCTCTAACTTTTTTCTCCCTACTTGCTTCTCTCTCTATATCTCATTGTCAATATTTGTTATATGGGGGATGTTCTTTCCTTCCCTTATGGTCTAAGTTATAGAATGAGTACTCTCTTCTCTCTCTAACAGTCCTAGTACTCTCTCTCTCTCTCTAGAATCTCTTTCTCTCTCTTCCAAAGAATTTGATGAGAGTTGTTGAAATGGTGGTGCAGGGTTTGAGGAGTGTGAGGGTGGACGTTATTGTTTGGGGACCGAGGGCGTACTTCGCGTGAGCCTCGGTGGCTTCGTATCCTTCCATCTTTTTCTCTCTAGATTTTACGGACATATTAAGTTACTTGAGTGGCATATAGTATATCCTCCACCCATATGCGTTAGACTTTAAAGAATTATTATTAAATTTGATTTGGATTTATAGAAAAATTGAATGCCACACTTATATGATAATTTTTTTAAAAATTTGTGTCAATTTTAATGATAATATTTTGAAGTCTTATATGTATAAATGAAAGAGATATTTTGAAGTCTTATATGTATAAATGAAAGAGATATTTTGAAGTCTTATATGTATAAATGAAAGAGAGTCCTGGAAAATCATTACACGTAATATATACATGTCAAGAACAAAATATGATTTATATGGTTATAATAGTCACTGTCATGATTTATCATTGTCCAAACATAGGTTTGACGGTGACGGTGACCGTGACGGTGGAAGTGGACTACACCTCAGCTGATTAAAGAAATTTAGAGATACCTCTAATTTGTACTTTTAAGGCACCATACCCCGGATATTTTTGATATTAAAGAGAATTTTTTTTAGAATGAATGTCAAATTAAATTTTTTTTTTTTGACCCAAATACTTTTAAAATTTAACTCTTGTTTTTAAAACATGATGGTCGAGATCTGGCACAAAAATGTGACGGACCTGCACAAGTTGAATAGAGTATGCCAGACATATATGAATATAGTAGCACAAAAAATGTGGGGCACTGGCTCTGCGTTTAGAGAGAAAAAGTGGGAAATGTGACTAAAAAGATGGTATTTTGCCCCAAAAAAATAAATATAAGGGTTTGTTCTACAAAAAAGATAAAAAATTCAAAATTAATATTGTAGTATCAAGAGCGTTAAAAAGAAATATTCCATAGAGAGTACATATTAGGACATACCTACAATTTTCCCCTAATGATATCATGGTGGACTCCACTCTTTTTCATCACCCTCCAACCCATTAATGAGACGGTGATTAGCTGATGGCATGGAGTTAATGACCTAATAGGGATGGCAATGGCCCAGGTGCGCCATGCCTGCCTGGCCCTCCCTAAAAAGCTAGGTTCTAGTCCAAGCCACCAGGACGCGAGGACCGGACCTAGGCTTCGGCCAAGATAAGGCCGTTAGGTGTTGTGGATTGTCCACTCCATAGATCCCTGTCGGACAGTTGGATCAACGATCTAGATTGGTCCAAATCAGTGATCTGAACAAATATTTAAAATAAAAAATTAAAATTAAAATAGAAGTTTATGTAGTAAAGATTTAGGAAAAAACTAAAAAAACATTAGTTAAACTTCCAAAAAAAAATGAAAATTGAGGTTTTTTGGACCTTCTTGGAACTGGTTCAACCGTAGCCGATTACCAATCTCGACGGTTCCAACTCTAGCCGATTACCAATCTCGGCGGTTCTCGATCTGGATCACCGAGTTTTAAAACAGTGACTAAAAGAAAGTAGCTTTAGTGTATATATCCCAAAATAGCTAAAAGGAAGAAATTTAGAAGAAACAATTATTTTATAATTTTGTTTTGGGCTTTAATTCCTTAATTTTTATTAAAAAAAGATATTCTTCTTCGTGATGTTTGTATCAACGGTGGGGACATCGAAGCTGAGTGAACGTCGTAACACGTGGCACTCTGGATGGTGGTTGGTGAAAACTGGTGCAGCATTTGTTTTGACGCCTCTTCCTTTTCTCCTTCCAAATGTTCTGATCCGAGCATACGGTTAGGATTCTTCACATAAAATTCTTTTCTTGATTTTTAGGGAAATATGTTAAGAGATGGTATTGCATCCACAAGATGTAGATGCTTAACGGTTAAGATTGAACAAGCCTCATCCAAGACTCAAAAACGAATTTTGTTTTTTCATTTTAATTCAATGACGATATGAATATGATATTTTGGTTTTAAGTTTAAATAAAAAATATTGATCAAAATAAATTTAAGGGTATTCTATTTTTTTACTTAAAATATTTTTTAAAATATATTTTTAATACATTTATAAAAATGAACCTACAACAAAAAAATTTAGAGAAATATCTTATTTAAATAAAAATATAATAAAATATTAAATTTAATTTTTGGCCATTAGATATATCCTTGTGACATCTCAACCATTGTGCACCCTTCCCACATCATGTGGAAGGGATACTTTTCCATATATCAAACTACTTATAGAAGGTCAACATTCAATGTTTTACCTATGTACAACCATTCCAACTCATAATCGTGTTTTTAATAGTTATTTCAAAATTAAATCAAATATACAAGTATAATGTTAAACAATTTATCTTTATTAGGCCCAATCGAGGCATTTTCAAGCTTGTCAGAGTAGCCCGGCCAGGTGACCAGATTTCGGGCTATTTTCAGCCCAGCCCAGCCCTATCGGATAATACTATATACCCAAAATGGCCCGGCTAAGCCCGGCCCAGCCCTGTCGGATAATACTATATACCCAAAATGGCCCAGCTCGGCACGCCCCGCAGCCCGCAGGAGGCTCATTAGCCAGCCCAACCCAGAAGCTTGAGGCCTGGCCCTGTCCATTGGCAGTTCTATTTATCTTTCGTTCTTGTTTTTTTATTAGGTAGTTTGAAATTATATCAAATATACAAGTACAATGTCGAACTGTAAAGAAACAACATATCTATAGAATGAGTATAGCTGAGATGAAGATGTTGAGATGGATGAGTAGAAATACATGAATGGATAGAATTAGAAATGAATATATTGGGGAGAATTTAGATGTGACATCAAAAAGCGATAAGATGAAAAAAAAATAGACTTATGTAAGCTGGTCATGTGTGGAGCAAGCCCAGTACAACACTGATTATGAGGTACGAGTTAGTTCAAATGGATGACTAAAAAAGTGTAATGGATAGGTTCAAAAGGACATGATGTTAAGTAATGAAAAAAGATATGGAGACTTATGATCTTGCTGAGGGTACGACCCTTAATAGAGTAGAATGGTGGACTAAGATTCATGAAGTCGACCCCAATTAGTTGGGAAAAAATGTCGATGATGATAATGATTTTGAGATTAAATCAAAATATATGAGTACAATATTAAATAGTTTGTCTCATAGGTGTTTGGATGAATTTCCTTGATTTCTATATCATTCATAAAAAAAAAGAAATAATTTTATAATTTTAAGCTAATATTTATCCAAAAGGAATGAATTCTAATATTAAAATAAAAGAGGCATAAGTGATTCATCAAAAAAGAAATATTTTTATAATTTTAAGTTAGTATTTATCCAAAAGGAATGAATTATAATATTAAGATAAAGGAGACATAAGTGATCCTCACGTCCATGTGAGCATGCATGTTTAGTTTTGAGAATCAGGGCACAAAAGGTGCTGTAAAACATTTGTGGTTTTTTTTATTTTGGGTTATTTCTTATTATTAATATGGGAAATACCAGCCCCTTGACCATCTCTGTCCAGTAAACTCCTTTTTTTCTCTTAAAAGCGATACTCTGTTTTCTTTTTATGCATTTCTACGAAATACGGAAATCTATTGAAATATCTTGTTTTATTTTCAAATTTTAAAAATATTTTATAGAGTTGTATGTTATTGGACCTATTTATTTTTTTTAAAAGGAGGTTACAATCATTTTTAACCATTGAATGTGAAATCCAATAGATAAAAGCTTATCAGAATATTCGATAAATTTTATTTTGGACTTTGCGCCCAATCAATGACAAATTATGGTTGTGAAGTAAATGGTCTTATTGTATATTCCTATTTTATATTTTATGTTTAATATCATTTTTTGAGGGCTTATGGTATATTTTAATTTTGACCGTTTTTATATATTGGATTAAGCTCAAAATATTAGGCATACACAATTCTTACTATCACACATTATTAAAAAGTATAAAGTTTAATTTGAAAGAAATAAGATAACCAAAATGCCCTAAAATACCCTAATTTTGTAGTGGTAATTTTTTATTAATTAGTTTTATTATTATTATTATTATTATTACATTTTTTATGTTGCGGAATGGTGAGAAGTACGGACACCTTAACTTTAAACTTAACCTAGAGCGTAGAAAAGAAAAAAATAAAATCAAAGTAACATATGAAATATGGGGTTGTCAAAATTAATTCAAAAAAGAAATGGGATTCTTATGCAATTTTTTTTTAAAGCAATACGGAAAGTTTAGAATAATGTTGACCTATTTATTCGAACGTCATGAATAGATTTGAGTTTCACGGTTCTAATACTGATTGCCTTTTATTTAAATTTGTTTAATGCAGGGACAGTGGCTCATTTTGGTGCAGGGTACGCTGATTTTTTTTTTTTCTTTTCTCTCTCTTTTTTTTTCTTTTTTAAAAATTTCCTTTTTTGAAGTTTTTGCCTTTTTCCAATACTGGGTGAGCATTGTTATCTTTAGGGGTGGCGATGGACCCGACCTCGGACTTGATGGGTAGACCCAGCCTCAAATCCGGATATGGGTCCAAATTTTGGATCCGAAAGGTTGGGTCCGGGTCTAGACGAACCTGACCCGAATAATATGACGTATATATGGGTATTCATAAATTTTGCCAATATATTTGTTTCTTAGGAATTTCCAATTATTACATAAAGCAGAAAAGAATGTGGGTATATGTGGATATTCATAAATGTTGTGCAATAATGTAAATGTTGTCCATAATATAGGTATATTGTATATGATGGTTAAAAAAGAACAGCAAAAAAGAAAAAGAAAAAAAAAGCTCATAATCATAGGGTCGCAATGGACCCAACCAAACCTGGGACCTGAAATGGATCCAAATTCTGGACACGAAAGGTCGAATCCAGGTCCAAAAGCTAGACCCGAATACTATTCAGGTTCGACCCGTTGAGACCATTGGTCATCTTATCTTTATTAGCATTGGAGTGAACCAATAATATTACCATATTGATTTTGGCCCAATAAACACAACTGCCACTCACTTCTAATTATCAGAGATATAGATGGAATGACTTAGTCTCCGAACACATATATATTATGTGTATGGAGGCAAATTTCCCTTTAAAATTTGTTAAAAAATTAACGAACATGTTCTATCTTTCTTACTTATTTGTATGTCCAGTTGTTTTCTGACTGTTGATTTGTTGTACTCTTTGTAGGGTTTTCCTTCTCATACAGCTGATAAGTGTGATCAGCTTGTTCACTTGGATCAATGACTGTTGCCGGTCAGAGAAATATGTTGACAAATGGTGTGAACTCATCCTCTGTCTTTTCAAATATGGCAAAATAATATGACATTTAAATCCGAGCTTCCTTTAACCAGTGTTTAATCATTGGGACCCGGGAATCATTGGGGACCTCCCAATTCCCTGACAGTATTAGGAACTAGGGGGTTCCTACTTGAACGGGTCGATTCTGTCAGTGAATCAGACTATCTGATTTGACCGGATCCTTGGCTCCCACTTTTTTAAAAAAAATTATATTTTTATTTTTCATTGTAGTTTTCAATCTTTTCTATTTTTTTTATTGGCTGATTCTCTCGGCCAATCGTCGATCCGGAATGACAACTTCTTGATCAAGACCTGTTTTCCGGATGGCCTGGTTCACCTCACCGATCCGAGTTTTTAAACATTGCTTCAACCAAGTATAATACCACGAGACTTTCATAGCCCAATCTCATTTGGACTCAAGAATTACATCAAGAGTGCTCGAAGAAAGAAGAGCACATCTTGGAGAACGCATTGTGTGTTAGAAAAACACATACTCTCCATAACTCAGAGGATGCACCTGCTCAAATCATTTAAAACACTCAGATATATGCTCAATTTCTACCCAAATATTAAAATGAGATTGTATAATACAAGACAATTTATTTTAAGAAAGAGTTTATATAGGGCTAGGTTTTAAGATAAAAAGAAAATGATGCATCTCAAACCTCACAAAATAAAAAAAATAGTTTTGACTTGGTCTTCATATCGATCATTTTAACCTCGACAATTACATACTTGAAAAAAATAGATTTCAAGCCCTAAAAAATGTGTATCTTGTAACTACTATTAAGGGATCGTTTGGAATTTGGGTATATGATTGTTGACTTCAACTTTACAAATTTGGTCTTTGTTCACTTTGGAGAAAATAGCCTCATTTAGAGAAATATTTGAATATTGCAGCCGCTTTCAAGTAGTATCAATATCAGCAGCTGCCTACATATTCTCCATGCTGGGGATTGTGTTGATGTATGTTTGGTATGCACCCAAGCTATCATGCAGCTTGAACATTTTCTTTATCACTGGGACCCTGGTGCTCCTACACCTCATGGCCTGGACATCTCTCCATGTGACGGTAAGTTCATAACTTTTTGCTCTCTCTATGGTTTTGTTAGGGTACGCTTATATATGGAGTATTTCTTTAATGTAATCAACATTTTTTGACAATTGATATCTTTATTCTATAATGTAGTAACTTTTTTGTTAAGGGACATTTTAGGTAATTAATCAAGGGCAAACTAAAAATTTTTAGTAGAAAGAGAAGCATTTATTAATTATAGTAGAGAATGACATCATCCATATGAAGTGTGAGATCACTTACATCGATGACCTCATCTACGTGTGTGTGCGTGTGTATCTAACTATCTTTTAGATTTATCTATCTACACGCATACACACACATGCGTGCACACTTTCCATTCATTTATTTACCCATCCAAGCACGCACAGACGCACATGCTATAGTGTGCATTTAGGGATAAGGACACAAGATTTCCACACATGCGCACACACACACACACATTCACATATTTAGCTATCATGCAGGTACACACAAAGATAAACACATACATACATACATAGATGCATACATACATTACGTACATACGGTTGTTACAATGTGCAGTTAGGGTATAATGCTCTGAACATGAAGGCCTTGAGATGCATTATCTAACACAAGTATTTTTGGGCAATCAACTTTAAATGAACAGAAACAGTACTTTTTCACATTCATATAGTGATTCCAGCCATTAGTGCACATGTTTGAATTTTTACTCCCTATTTTTTGGGTTCTGTCTTATACATAGACCTTCATTTCCTTGTTTTCTTTTATTAATGGGGCAGGTAAATGCAGGGTATCTGACCCCTGGGCTTATGGGGCTCTATGTTGTATTCCTTTGTTGGTGTGCTATTAGAAGGTACATTTTCTATGAAGAATCTATTTGCCCATTTACCATCTATTTTATCTTATTTTCCATTTTATTTCATATAAAACATGATTATCAGATGGGAAAACCATGAAAAATCTCATTCAAGTGGTTTTAAATGGTTGGAATTCCTTTGTAAATAATCATATTCCTTTGCTGGTAGAACTGTGAGTCCTACATAGAGGTTTTACTGCAGGGGGTTCATCAGAAATGATTGGTTAAGAATGCATCAGTTAGTAGAAAAAAGTAATTTGGGTTTCTTGCGATGGTAATGTACTGATTTTGAACTTCAGATTTAACCTTTAACATTATCTCATTGCTTGTGTTAACAGTGAGCCACCAACTGAGAGTTGCAATAAGAAGGCAGAGGCTACAACAAGTGCAGATTGGCTTTCAATCATAGTAATATTTCAAATTCTATTTGAGTAAATTAGAATCAATAAACAGTTAATCGCATACTATGGTGTACCATATACCACATGCCAATTCTGTATGGTATACTTTCCCATGACAAAAGGGTCGTTATCTGTTACATTTTCCAAATGCACATTGGCATTCTGACCAACACTCAAATGTTTGTGGGTGTTCTTTCTAATAGCTAAGGCAAGAATGTTTTAATATTTCACTTCATCAGAACCTTACTTCCATTCACTAAACGCTTCACTTACTTATGCAACCCAACTTCAATTATCTGACCCATGACAAGTTGACTTCATACTAATCAGGGGTCAAATATGTCTACAGAGCTTCATTATGGCAGTGATAGCCATTGTCATAGCAACATTTTCAACTGGCATAGACTCCAAATCATTTCAGGTGCACCCCTTAAAACTAAGAAACAAATTTCCTTTCGCTTTATTATTTCTGAATTGCATATTTTATTTTCTTTGCAATATTTGAAAGTTGAGATGCATAATCTGATGGGCAACGATAAAATGGAATGATAGACATGGATGGAGAGGGACTGCAGGACAACCTTGGGTTGTGTTATGGAATGGTGTCACTCTCACACTCCGTTCTCTGTTACTGTTCATCATTTAATTGGACAGTGATGACCTCAGTGGATAACTGTTTTACCTTGTATTATACTTTCCCTTGAAAATGTTGTGCAAGGGATGTTAAGAAAAGGAGAAAACAGACCGTTTGACTAGGTGATTATGCACTGGTACGGATTTAGCAGCCCATGTGTTCTCTTTTGTGCTTAAAGTATGTGATAATTTTGTATGCAGTTCAAGAAGGTCAAAGCTAAGTCAGAAGCTGATGTTCCCTATGGTTATGGCTTCTTTCATTTTGTGTTTGCTACGGGAGCCATGTATTTCTGCATGCTTCTAATTGGCTGGAATGTGCATCACACCATGCAAAAGTAAGTACCCCACCTATCACATGAAACTTTAAGCCTTAAACATATAAATAACAAGGATGTTTTTGCAGTAATTTTTGTCTAGTTGTCCACATAAATCCCATTAAACCCTAAAATTTGACACCTCCACATTATAAGTTTGTCTCAATTTATTTTCTTTCATTCAAGCTTGAATTGGTTTCACACCTTGTGGCATATGGCATTCCATTTGCCTAAGAAATAATAAAATGAGATAAAGATAAAAATAGGCATTAAGAAGGTAAATGTCGCGACGAATTCCTGATAGAACAATGCCTGGAAAAAGCAAATATAACAATGAAACATTAAATGAGATATTAAAAGAACCAATAAAATGTAGTACATAAGTGTTTTGGTAAATTTTGGGTTAAAAATGAAAAACATATCCTATCCCCAAATCTACTTGTCCCATCAAATGGACGGGCCTACATTCTTTGTGTTTTTTTAAAAAAGCAACAAATTTTAGTAGCATGTGCTTTCATAACTTTGTTTTCTTGATGTTGGTAATCGGAATGTAAAGAGTGTGTGTTTAAAATTTGGGGTCAAACTAATAAAATACTCCTCACGGGGTCTTTGAAGGAGTAACTGAATATGATTGTCATTGTAATTATCGAAGAACATGGGGCTGGAATCTTGCACAAATGAGAAAATTATACCTTGTACTCATATCACTATGATTTTAGTCTTAAGAAGGGTGAGAACCTTAAACTTTCCCTAAACCTGTCCCAAGCCCAGGTAAAAGAGGTGGGTTGTGTTAGGTAGGCAGCTAACGGAAAACTTTGCCAAAACTTTCCATGAATCTTGAATCTTCCATTAGGTATTTTGATCAATTATTCATGTGCATATATAAACAAATGCCTCCCATACATAACAAGACATGATAGAGCACGCTATACATAAAAAATCTGCCTGAACAGGACAAGAGCCCACTTATGGTTTCCATTCTCTTTATCACCATCATCATTTCGCTCGATGGTGATGAACCACTGGATATGGTTTTCCATAGAGGGGGTTAAAATATAGGCTTATGGATATCGATAAAACACATGAGACATTGTTTATGCATAAACATGAATTTAGGTCTGTTCAAAATTTCCATCTCGTAAAGTATGAAAAGAAAAAAGAAATCTCTTTTTCCTCTGCAGATGGACAATAGATGTTGGATGGACTAGTACTTGGGTTCGGATTCTCAACGAATGGTTAGCAGCATGTGTCTATAGTAAGTAACACTATCAATCATCTTTCGTTATCAGAAAAGAAAGTATACTGGGCTAAGAGTGAATGGATGGTGATGGAGAGAATGTGTGCTCCACGAGAATAGGACATGACCCGAACAGTGAGCCCCACTCCCTCCATCACCATCCAATATTACATTAGACAGTATCCTAATGGATAATGGCTTCCACAGTCCCCTATATTAAATTGTACTTTCCTGTTAGAGAACCATTGAAAGTACCAAAGTTTTTTTATCTGACAAAAAATGCCCCTTCTAATACTAGAAGGGATATTTTGGGATTTTATCAAGGATTTTAAGCAAGTTATAAGGAGGTCCTTCTAGATGGGTGGCCCTTTTTCTTAGAAACCCTCTACTTTTTTTGATGCAGTTTGGATGCTGATTGCCCCTCTCATTTGGAAGAACAATCAATCTTCAGGAACCACATGAATGCCCATGCTTGTAATTTATTTGATTTTCCATTATGGGATGGATGTACAGTGGAAATGTTCAGTCCATGGAATTGTTTGTGTTTACCAAATCAAATCACCAAAAGAAGACCTTTGGATATACCATAGCAGAATTTCATACAGAAGAAAGGGAGTGGATTTCCAGCTGTTAAAGCTGCATTGACAGAGGGTTTTTTCTAGTGGCTATTTCCCTGTAATGGTTAAGCGTGGATTGAAAAAATGATGTAGCAATTCTAGTCATTTCTATGCACTAAACTGCAAATTGCAGTAATTTTCTCTCGTTATTTGTATTTGTTTTTGGAACTGTTAACTATGTATTAAGTAAAAGGAGGTATACAAATTACAAAAAATTGCTGCCTACAGCTGTGGGAGCACTATACCACCACTGAGATGTTGGCAGAATAAAAAAATGCTATACAAGAATGAGATTACAGAGCATGGATATTGCAAAATACTGCAGCAAGTGCTCTACAGCAACGCTAATTGTTCTCTCATTCTTCTAGGCACATGAAACAAAAGCTTAAGCATTATCATGTCCGAGAGGTGTACATATAGACATACAAGTACCACTGGCCACAGACACCCTTGTCCAATGTGCAGCACTCAACTGAAGAATGCAAGTGAGGAGGGGTCGACCGTGTGTCAGTAGCCGTGCAGCCCCTGCCACGGGGGGTACTAGCACCTCTCCTAGCTGGCACGGGGTGCCTGTGGAAGGGTACCGCGGCGGAGTCGGGTGATGGAGCATGCAGTTGGCACTGCCTGGCACGCGAGGGGAAGAACATGGACAACAGAGACAGGCGAGTATGAGTACCTTAAGAACTTTCCAACTTCATCACATGAAGATCTTAACGTACAATAAAAGAATGAGATAAAAAACAAAGTAGAATAGACCAAGACTAAGCTGATATCGATGAAATCTTATACCTGAACTTCTCAATATACCATCAGAGAAAAAATCTCAAGCCGACATGGCAGTATTTAGTTGATTCACCTCCTGTTATTCAAGGAAACAGAATGGGACATCCCTTCCTGCATAAAATAAAATTAAGAATGAGGCTCCCTACCAGTACATGGGAAATTTAGGAGGAAGGACTAAATGATTAAATCAACCAAAACTATCAAGAAATTTTAACTAAATTAATCAATCTTAACTATGCCTGAAAGATATCTGTATACCAACCGGGTTTTGAACAATTTGTCCTCTCAAATGTTCTAAGGATTGATTGGTATGCACTTACAGCATGATAAATGCTCTTGTCCTAAAGGCTGAAATCGTAGCTACCCAAGCTAGCTTTAGAGGACAATTATTATCCCTATTGCAATATTAGTGCAAGGGTAGCACCAAGAAGACCCAATGTTTTTCAGAGGGAGCGATAGTAGGGAGTTCCAATAAGTACAAGTCTGGACAATGGAAATGAATTAAGAAGTAATTCACCAAAATTACCCATGAAGTGAAAGCACTGGACAATGGCAGCTTCTCCAATAGTCTAGGTTTTGGCTTTTTGGGGTGTCTCTGAATAACTTGTCAATTCTTGGGTGGGAGAGTGGGAGCACCAACAAGATAAGAGATTATTCTAAATATTCAAGAAAGCTAAAGTTTCTTTTGCAGCAAATCTTGCTCAATTGGGCTCACAGTGTTCTCTACAAGAAATGCCTTCACTCCATCCTTTACCTCTATCCGACTATAACCAGGCTCCCTTTTCATTATCCCCCTCCCCCTCATTCCACTCCTTAGTGTTTCTACTTCAACCCACCTTCCTGCAATGGCATATATGTTAGACACCAATATATTCATTGCAGAATCGTCCCCATTGACAACCATTCTAGCTGCTTTAATACCCAACTCTGTGTTCCCATGGGTTCCACAAGCTGCTAAAAGAGTCCTCCACATCAAACCACTTGGCTCCATTGGCATATCATTAAGGAAGCCATGGGCCTCCTCGAGCCTTCCTGCTCGACTAAGAATGTCAACCATGCATGTATAATGCTCTTCCATTGGAATCAACCCATGGTCTTTACTCATTGAATGGAAGTAAAATCTCCCTCTTTCTACCATACCCACGTGACTACATGCTGATAAAACAGCTACATAAGTAATATGATCAGGTTTTATTCCTTCTTTCTTCATCTCTTCAAACAAATCCAATGCCTCCTTAGCATAACCATGTTGGGCATAGCCAGTAATTATAGTGTTCCAAGACACCATGCTCCTTACAGGTATCTTCTTAAACATAGCCATTGCGTCTATTATGCTCCCACACTTTGCATACATGTCAATGAGGGCATCCCCCACTGAAGCATCTAGCTCGAGCCCTAAATGCACAGCCCGTGCATGGATGCATGAGCCTTGTTTCAAGGCAGTGGCTAAGCTTGCGCATCCCTTAAGTACAGAGATTAAGGCCAGTCGATTGGCTCGCATGCCATAGCGGTGCATCTCTCTGAACAATCTCAAGGCTTCATTACCATTTCCATTTCTCGCATATCCAGATATAATCATCTCCCAAGAAGCTGAATCCCTCCTTTGCATGGCTTTGAAGTTTCTCCAAGCACATTTTATGTCACCACATTTAATATAAAAGTTGATAATGGAATTCCCTAGTATAATATCGATCCCAAACCCTGTTTTTATGATGCAAGAATGGATCAATTCACCCCATGTTCTAGACTTCAAATTTGTGCAGGCACCAAGTATGGTGGCAAAAGTAAACTGATCGGGAATTAAGCCTCTCCGATACTCCAAGGATAAGAGGTCCAAGGCTTCCTTGCGCCAGGAATTCCTGCAATACCCTGAGATCATGACATTTAGTGAAACCACATCATGAAAGGGCATGAGGAAGAAGAGTTTTTGGGCTCTTTTGATATGCCCAAAATTTATGTACATGTTAAGTAGAGAATTCGTCACAAAGATATTGAACCCAAATCCTAGTTTTAGCGCAAGAGTGTGAATTTGCTCCCCTTGCTTTATAGCTTGTAAAGTCGTGCAGGCTCCAATAATAGTGGCAATAAAATGCTGGTCTAAATTGATCCCTGTTTCCCCAAAATAGCTGAGGAGTTTGAAAGCCTCTTTAAACTGCTTGTTTCTAAGGTGACCTGATACAATGGCTGTCCATGAAACCAAATCTTTATCACCCATTTGAAAAAAAATCCTATTAGCAGAGCTCACGCTTCCACATTTGGCATACATGGTGATTAGTGCATTGGCAATGGAAACATCGGATTTCCATCTGGTTTTTGATACATAAGCATGGATTTGGGCACCCTCTTCCAAGCTAAGACACAGGCCAAGGAGACTAATCAGAGCTCCTTGGTTTGGTTTTGACCCGAAAATTCGCATTTTTCTAGTCACTTTCACAGCTTCTTCTTGATATCCATTATGCAGATATCCTGATACAAGCACCGAAAATGTATTCAAATCTGGGTTTTTCATTGTCTCGAAAAGCTTGCGCATGTTTGCTACCTCCCCAAGCTTAGCCTGCAATTTCAGAAGCTCTATAACCAGAACATCATCAGAATCCAACCCAGTTTTGATAATATAACCTTGCAGAGTTTCACAAAAACTCTTCAATCCTAATATGACTCCTGCACTTAAAACAATTCTCATTGTCACAATGTCGGGAAGCAAACCCCTGTAATTCATCTCCTTATAGAGAGAGAAAGCTTCATCGACAAATCCATTATGAACCAAACCAGAAATAATGGAATTCCAAGAAACCAAGCAATCCTTCTTAGACATCAAATTGAAGATCAAAAGTGAATCTTTTACAGAACCACATTTAGCATACATGTCAAGTAGGCCTATCTCTAGAAACCCATCACAACAAAAGCCAGTTTTTATTATTTGGCCATGAATTTTACACCCAATATCCAATACGCCATGGTCCGCGCACGCTTTTACCATTGATGCAAAAACAAACTGGTTGGGCTTCAACCCACTATTATACATTTTCTCAAAGAGCTCCAGAGCACCTATGCTAAAACCATTATGGGTACACCTAGAAATTACAGTGGACCATGAAATCAAGTCTTGTGTGGGCATTTCATCAAATAACTGATGCATCTCTGTCATCAAACCAGCTTTACCATACATATCCAAAAGCACATTTGATAGTACTATTTCAGCTTGAAAACCCATCTTAAACACATGAGTATGAATGCTTCTACCCTTTACACAGTCCTCTACCTCTATGCATTTCTTCAAAGAAGTAACATAACAAGGCAAAAGATCTGAAAGAAAGTGAAAATCAGGAGAGAGAAACATGCTTTTCACAGGTTCTAGAATCTCCAAAATATCTGAAACTCTAGCCTCTTTGTAAACTGGCAAACCCCATTTTTTCTGAGTCGTTTTTGGAACATGGATCAGGCTCTTGTGAGGAGAAAATGAAGAAAATCTTATCAATTTGTAGTGGGAGAGTGGAGTTTGAAAAGAATGGCTCCTTTCTGTGTGTTTCAGGAGGAGAGATAAAGGTGAAACAAAGAAACTGATTTGATGAGATCTCATCAATGGGACCTCTCATTTGAAGAGCCTTTCAGATTTTTTGAATCTATACGGTTGCCATGAGCATGGAAGTTTACAGGTTTAATGACCATTGAGAACCCAGTTGTTTTCTTAAATGGCAGAGTACACCACAAACTTTTTTTTTTTTTTGGTTCGACAACGTTACCTTATTTCATTAAGGATGAAGTTTTTGTAAGACACAGGCTTTATGAAAATAAAACAAAGGCTCACCTGAAACCCTTGTCCGGAAAGTGTAAAAAATCTTTATGGTGGTTATAAAATTAATTTTCAATATCGACAATGAGATTAAGGTTCAGGGCAAAATAGACGGTCTAGATAATTTATTACAATATCCACTATTTTTAGAGCATGATATTATTTAAAGGTTTTTGATAGATCTTCAACCCTATCAAACCAATTTCCTTTCATTAATGAAAGGAAAAATACAACAAATTATACATCAATCAAAACAAAACAGCCGACAGAGTACACTACAATCTTTCACAGCTAATTAAAAGATCTTATGCTCTCATGGGAGCAAACTGTTGTGCTTGCTCCATTGACAAAACCCAGTTTCGTAAAGTTCAAATAGGTGTGTTTTGACAAGTTGGGGAAGAGTGGAAATAAAAAGTTGCAAGGTTTTTTGTATGAATGCATATCATATCGCCATTATTTTTTAGGGTGGTTTTTGACAAGCAATCAACGATCCGTAATCTCTCTCTCTCTCAAACACACGCACACAAATCTCTTCTCTATAGAATGGCTTTCTTATGTTACTGTTGATTTTGCATGTGCTTTACACTGATGTATGTGTGTTGCCTCTTTTGCATGCCCTATATTACAAGGAAGAAGCAAATAAAAACCGAAAATCGAAATTGATCTTTAAATGCACCATTGCGCATATCCTCCTCCTCCTCTACTACAAAAGTATGTAGCTATTTGTCCACAATTTCTAAAAATTACTAAATAATCTTAAAACCTACCCAACTTCTAATACAATAACTTCTACAAAATAAACTTAAAACCTCCCCCAACTTCTAATACCATAAAATAATCTTAAAACCTACCCAACTTCTAATACAATATTTTCTTCTTTTGAGTCAGATTACTGTTGCAAAACTTATCCCAAGTTGGAGGAAGCCCTGGCAATGCATCGGCCCACTTGGTGTTGACTATTGCGAACTTATCCCAACTTGGAGTAAACGGTCGCAATGCATCGGGCCGCTTCAACCCATATAGGGTGGAACTATAGTTAGCAAGTCGGGAAATATCAATATATCGGCTCACCATAAAATCGGAAATAAATCGTTTTTAGTTTAAAAAGTTGAATGAAAAAATCAGGTAAAAAATACAGATTGGTAAAAATATTTTATTTAAAAATGTCACAAATATAGCGGACTAAGCTAAAAATATCGGAGTGAAAATAACGGATAAGTTTAAAAAAGAGGCACCAAATTTATGCTAACTATGCTAAAACTATAGTCTTTAAAATAGCTATTCTAACTATGCATCATACTAACCATACACCATTACTAAGTATAAACCATACGAGCCATACTAACTATACACTATACTAATTATACGAATACGTACATTACCATCTGTTGCACCATATTTAGACTTTTAGAGAGAGAAGACGAGAGGGGGGTGACCATTTCCTTTGGAGACAGGAAGCAGACAGAGAGGAGTGGCATAGGAGAAAGAAATGCAAAGGGAGAGAGAAATAGAGAGAGAGAAAGAGAGAACGGGGGTGGGGAGTGACCACATATCTCTTAAAGGAACACAGAAGAGCAAACATGGTTTTGGTGTTGTCTTTTTGAAGCAGATGGTGCACTTTTTATGAAGAAAATCAGATGGGTGAGTCTAAATCAAATCGTGCCGTATTTTTTAAGCTGATGGGTTGAATCAGGTTTAGGGAAAAGCCTTTTGTATGTTTTTTCTTAATTTATTTTCCTTAATATGTTCTTTGAGCTATGTTTTGTGATTTGAAAGTTCTCTATCAAATTGTCTTCTATTTTCCCTAATCTATTTTTCCCTAATTTATTTAAAATGTTGTTAAATTTAGGGATTTTTAAAAGTTAATGTTAAATCTATACTTCAATATAAATAGTGGTTCTCTTTCTCTAAAGCATACATTATAAACCGTGGTTCTCTTTTTCTATCTCTATACCCATCAATTTCTATACCCATCATCGATCTCTATACCCATCAAGCATTTGTGAAGTAGTTCAATTTGGGGATTTTTAAACTTATCTATCCCTGTTTTTTCCTAATTTTTTTGAGATGGTTATCTGCCTCTCTTTCTGTACGCATCAATGAGATGTTCTCTATCACATAGTTCTCTATCTATGTACCGTGTAGTATTATTAATAGAAACATTTTTTTGAAACGACTTATTATAAAAATTAAAAAATCACGTTTTAAATTTCTTCAATAAAAAAACACGATTTTTTATGCACTTTTAAAAAATACGTTGTTTAAAAAAAAATTTAAAAAAAAATTCCGACTTTTTCAAAAAATCACGTTTAAAATGTAGATTTGCTAACTATGGTGGAACCATAAAGGGGGCAGGTAATGGGTGGAACCTTTTAAGATGAGAAAAGTCAAAGGAACTCATTGTGTAGGGTCTAGAATAGGTATACAAACATCCCTGAAAATAATTGGTGTAAAACATATCCTAAGAAAGTCAATTCTAACTCACTGTGATTTCATAAACTATTTTTTTTTAAATCTATATTATTTTCCCATTATTTTCCATTTTTCAATTAATGACTATTTTTCAGGTTTTTTAATTTTTTTTTACCCCCTCAATCTCTTATTGCATATTGCAATACATATAAATCCACTAGTTGATAATATGGATATAGACATACATGACTCAATAGAACTAACTTTTAATCACATACTCTCTCACTCTCCATATATATATATATATATATATATATACAATATATGCATGGATTAGCCCACTAGTGTATATGAATATATGAGCCCAACAGTACAGATTGAATCTGGATCAATCTGCTGGTCACGACTTCATTTCATGTTTGAATTTTAAATTTTTTTCTACGAATCCAAATAACTTGAAACTTTAGGTGTTGATTCTTCTCATCAAGGCGCACCTAATAAAAATATTTACAAAATAATTTACAAAAAACATTAACCAAAATACCCTATAAAACTTTTAGGGGTATTTTTATCAGTATATTTATTACAAATTGTTTTTTTGATATTTTTATTAGATTCTCATATTTTTGAAAAACACATGCCTAAAATTTCAAGTTATTTGGGTTTGTAGAAAAAAAAAATTAAAATTCAAACATGAAATGAGGTCGTGACCGTCAAATCGACTCAGATTCAATCTGGACCATTTGGTTCATATATTCATATAAACTAGTGGGCTCATCCTAGCATTTTCATATATGAAAAAAGTTGGAATTAGCCCACTAGTTCATATGAACATATAAGCCCAACGATCGAGATTGAATCTAGGCCGATCTGATGATCATAGATGTCTGCTAGTATTTGAAATTTTAGACGTGTATTTATAAAAAAATAGGTGAATTTTTGAAAAATATCAAAAAAATATTTTACATGAAATAAATTGACTAAAATACCCTCGAAAAGTTTTGGGGGTATTTTGGCTATTTTTTTCCATGAATAATTTTTTTTTGTATTTTTATTAGGTGCGACTTGATGAGAAGAACATATACCTAAAATTTCAAGTAATTTGGATTTATAAAAAAATAAATAAAAGTCAAGCACTACCGGACATTTGTGATCGTCGGAACAGTACAAATTCAATTTAGGTTGTTGGGCTCATATATTCACATGAGGTAGTGAGTTAATCACAACTTTGTCCATATATACCAACGACCCAACTCTGAAGGTCATGACTTCATTTCGTGTTTTACTTTTAATTTTTTTTTTACAAATCCAAATAACTTAAAATTTTAGGCATATATTCTTTAAAAAATT